CAGTTCTAATGATTGCTATTACTACATGATATGGTATTGTTTATTTCATTTCTTAAATTATTTAACATTTTAAATTGTTATTGTATATATATGTTAAAAAGTTGTGTATATATGTACATATGAATTTTTAAAAAATTTATTTAAAAAATATATATACTTCATTTTTTGTCTGCAGGAACGTATAAAAATACAGAAGATTGACAATTATTACGATAAAATTTGTCACATGTATGATAAAACATTCCAATCTCATTTTACGAAAAGTTCCTTTGAAGTAATAATATATCAGAAAGGTTGTATATATTTTACAAGCAATGCATGGATTTTTATTGAATATTATATTGTTTGATATTTTAAAGAATAACACACTCTAAGAGAATCAAATTTTGAATTTACTAATATTCTTGAAGCTTCCACGCCTTGCTTTCTATAAAGATTATGTGTTTCGCGGGTTCTCTCCAAATTCATTCTTGATATGCCAACGTTTCGTGAACCTTGCAATCTACTTTATCAGGGTGAGGAGTAGCCTGATACTGAGCTGTTCCTTCCGGCCGTTCCTTTTATTATGTTACTTGTTGGAGTGGTGGGGGGAAGAAGAGAATTGTGGAGGGGGAAGAGGTGGGGGAAATTTGTCGGTTTTCAATAACCGGGAGAATGGTTTCCTATATTTATATTGTAGTCATTATCTCTATTTAGATTGTTAGAATGTTTTTGTATCTCTATGGCTTCTCTATACTTTCTTGGAAAGTAATATTGACTAATGTAATATTGACTATTGTGGTCATTTTGTCAAACAATATTTGATGTTCTGTTTTGATGTTATGTTCTGATAATGTTGACTGCGTGGCGGTCTGGTTTTAGCCTGTTGGTGTTCTTTTATCCGTAGATGACTGTTGATGTTCTTTTATCAGTAGATGACCATTCTCCCGGTTTCTCCAATGTATACTTGCCCGTAGGAACATAGTATTTTGTATACTCCTGCAGAGCTGAGTAGAAGTCCTTGATCTTTCGAATTTCTTAAAATTTGTCCTATTTTTTTGGATGGTTTGAATTCGGATATTGTGTTTGTTTAATATCCTGCTAATCCGATCTGTTGTTTTTTTGATATGTGGGAGAATGGATGTGATCCTTTCGTCTGATTGTGTGTCAAAGACTATTGTCTTGTTTGCATATTTATTGATAATTTTGATTTTGTCGTGTTCGTTTTTCTATAAGGCTAGTTTCAAATAATTGAGTTCTGTCTGTAGATGTTCTTGTCAATGGTGAAAGCTCTATGTATAAGTGAATTAATTGCAGACTGTTTTTGTTCTGGGTGCGACTCGGCATGTAAGCATGTATCTATATTGTGTGTATTGGTTTTCTGTACTTGATGGCCTAAGATACTGTCAGCTTTTTTAGAAAACATCTAGGAAGGGGAGTTTACCGTTTTCCTTTATATCTATAGAGAAATGGATATTTGGATATTAATTGTTAAGAAAAAGAAATTTACGGAGTTCAGTTTTATCGTGTCTCCATATCATGAATGTCATAACGGAATTAAACTTCTGGTTTTTTGAGTGTTTTTCTGAGGGTCTTTTTTTCAAAATGCTCCATGAAGATTGGCGATTACAGGAGAAATAGGAGAGCCTATTGCCGCTCCTTTGTTCATAAAATTAATTGTTATAGAAGAAGTAAGTAGTTGTTAAGCACTCTATTAGCGAGATAAGGTCGGAAGATACTTCATATGAGACCTTTATGTTTAATGTGTCTTTTATTGGGATTTGTGTGAAAAGGAATTTTATGTCGAAACTTACAAAGTCTGTAGGTCGCAGTCGGATCTTTTTTATGAAGTTGAGTTGATTATGTGTGATTCGGATTTTCCAGTGAGGGGTTGTAGTGTTTGTGCTAGGAAGCAGAATAAATTGTATATTAGGGAGTGTATGACGCTAACAATCTGAGGGGAATGTTTTGTTTGTGTACTTTTGGTAGTTCATATAGTCTTGGTAGGAGAGAATTTGTAGGTTTTAATGTTAATTTGATTTTATTAAGAATATTTCTTTTCTCCACTAGGATCTTGGTTTTCTGTGCGATTGTATTAGTTGGAGCTTTGTCAAGTTTTTGTATGCTTTGTCTGAGAGAAGGTTCTTCATCTTTTTTTTATAGTGTGATATGTTCATGACTACTGTCGTGCTGCCTTTATTGGCTGGAAGCACGATGATGTCTATGTCCCTGTTCAGGTCTTGGGGGGCCAATCATTTTTATCTAGTGATTTGATGGAGGGGCTTTAAGGATATTGGTTACCTGTCTGTGGATATTATCTTATTCTTATGGGAATCGATAGATAATTGACTCTATTTGGCTGATAATTTCTTCTTTTGGAATCTTTCTAGATGCCACTGCAAAGTTAGGATCTTTGGCAAGCGTAGATATAATGTCTTTGTTGGATATGTTCTTAACGTTAAATAGAGAGGGTTGTGGATTTTTGTGAGGGACAAGGTTTATGTATTTCTGTTTCTGTCTTTCAAAGAATTGTGTGTGGGTCTTCACGGCTTATTCATATGTAAAACGATCTAAGGTTTGTCAGATATCGTAGCGAATAGCAACAGGTGTTTAAAGATTTTATGGAAAATCTGAACTATTTGTGACTTAGTTTGACCATTAGAAATGGCATTTTTTAAAGATGAAATTGGTTTTATGAAGGATGTTTTTGAATTTATAAGTTCCTAAGTGGTCTTTGAGTCATAGGAAGTTGTAGGAACTTTGGGATGATGTTATTATCCTTACAGCGTTTTAGGAATGCCAAGTCGATAATTTCTTGGCTAAAGAAGGCTTGAGTTTGCTGAAAGTGTTTACTTTAGCAAGAATACTTCCCCGTAGAAGTATTTGATAATATTCTTGAGGCTTCCATAGATATTTTCTATATAAAGATTATGCGTTTCGCGGGTTTCCTTCGTATCCATATCCATTCTTGGATATGCCAAGTTTCATGAACCTTGTAGTTCACTTCATCAGGGCGAGAAACAGCGTAATACTGAGCTGTTCCTCCGGGCCGTTTCTTTTATATGTTAGTTGTTGGAAGATGGAGGAAAGAAGAGAATTGTGGGTGAAGAGAGGTGGGGAAATGGTCTTCAATAATTATGTATATAATATTTATAAATTTACTTTGTTTCAGATTGTATGAAGAGCAATTGGTCCTTTACTTCAGCCTATTAATGAAAGAGGTCTTCCTAATGTACCGTTGAAGAAAGCAATATTGTCAACATTATAATTATTGAGGAATCAAAATTTTTTTCGAGAAGTTAGTAATCTATTCGATTTAAGTCCAAGTACTACACACAAAATATTTATGTATGCGGTGCTCTGTGTAATATTATGAATGAATATCTACATTGAACCTCCAAGCTAAATCTCCAAGAGTTTCCAAATATAAAACAACAGTTTAATGAGCTCAGAGAACCGAATAATTTTCTAAACATGATATGCGCAGTTGGTAAAATGCACATAGGAATCCTAGCTCCAATAGATGATCTTATGAGTTATTATAATATACGAAAAGATTTCCATTCAATCATTCTACAAGAATCTGTGATGCAAAATGTCAATTTATTGACATTTTTATTGGTTAGCCCTGTGCAATTCACAATGCAAGAGTGGAAAGAAAAATCTATTGGTCAAGCACTCGCAGATGATCCAACACTTATACCAGAAGAAACTCATATTATAAGAAATTCTGCTTACAAACTTATTTATTAACACCATTCCGTGATAATGGTTACTTATCTCTAAGACAAAATATAATAAAAAATTAAGTTCGAAAAGAGTTGTCATTGAGCAGGGAGGACTGAAAGCTTTAGAAGATTAAAGTTTTTAAATATGTCTCTAATGAATGAAATGAAAATAGTTGTTATTGTTGCTTGTGTTCTGCACACAATATTTGCATCAGACATAATAATGAAACTAAGCTATGTGATGATGAACGTGAACTAGATGAGGACCAGGATGAGAATTTCATTTTTGAAGCAACTAATGATAAAAGAAATAGAATTGCAAATTCTTTGTGGGCAAATAGAAGATGAAATAAAATATAAATAAACAATAAACAGAAATTTTAAAAACAATCCTTTAGTAAAAACATGTGCCGAAACTGTTTTTTTTTACTAAATATATTTTAAAACGTGCGAAAATTATAAATTGTCATGAAAATTACAGATATAAAAATTAATTGTATGTTAATCTTACATTTGCGTATATTTATTTCACTTTAGAACAGTTACCTTTGAAATAATGAATATTACGTTATATTAAATAAAATAAGGTATAAAAATATATATCTATTAAAATATATATTTAATATATGAAACCTAATGTATTAGCAACGAATACTATTTTCTCTTTAAAACTAGTTTTACATTAGTCGCAAATTGATCATAAGCGTGCTGCAACAACCAATCTGAAGCATCAATTTTTAAATTTATTTTATTATCGCAACAAGCTTGTGATTGACTGCGAATAATGTAAAACTAACAACATAGTAAAATAAAAAAATTTTGCAATATCGTAAAAACATAACATTTGCAATGTATGAAAGATATTTATTTCATTACATTAAAAATCTGAAAATAAACAATAAAAATCTAAGGAGATCATACTTTGTAGAAAGAAAGTTTTTGATGTAGAAATGTAAAGTACCATGAAACTTTAAATGTATATGGTAATTACTTAAACAATATACAAGTTGCATAAAAATTTTTGAAATATTCAATGCAGTTTACATTTCTATATCTTTAAAGTTTAAAACAGTAAAATTAAAGTATAAAAGTAAATAATTTTTAAAAAACCTCAACAAAATACTTAGTCTTATAAATTTATCAAAATTACTATATGATTTAATCATTGTTTGTTGAGCGGGTTTTTTGTAAATCTTTCAAGAGAGCGACAAGATTGTTTATTGCTTATATTTTGCTTTCTTTAATCTTCTTTTTATCTTCCCAAATTTTTTTTATAATTTTTTTCGTGCAACATTTCTTCTTAAAATCGAAGTTTTTTTTTCTCTTTCTTTGACAATTTCATTTTTCTTTTTTGTGGAATGTTTTCTATAGCACCTGCATTTTCCTTATATATGTTATCAGGTGATTCATCCTCAGTAAGTATTTCCGGTTTGAATGTTGAACTCAGTGATGTTTCAGGAGGATTCACACTCTTTTTTTCTGTAAAAATTTTATGCATTTGTTGGAAATATTTCCAAATAATTTCCAAATAACTTTCACCTTTTTTTTTAATTTAGTTGTATTTCGATTGTAAGTAACTTCCACTTGTTTATCAAATCTTGCACTTTTACTTTATAACTTTTCTCTTCAAAAGCTTTAACAATTAAATTCCAATAAGATGTTTTCTGACTACTTGGATTTTCAAATTCATATTAAGACGTTGTTCAAGTAAAAGTTATATTTCTGCTTCTTTCCAGTTCTCTTTAGGGTCATCTGAAATCAAATCATAAAAATCATTTTATTTATACAGTACATGAATATTTTGAAAATACTAAAGTGTTCCAAGAATAATTTTTTAGATTATTATTTGTTATACATTTTTTTATATAATGGATTATAAAATAATAAAATAGAACACAATAAAAAATTAACACTTTTTCAATCATGCATAATAGAAAATAATAAATAGATATTAATTTCCTTGATTATATTTACTTTGATAAACAGATGATAAAGATTTTTCTTAAATTAAATTAAATAATCTTTCCATGTTGTTCACAGAATGTGAATGTATGGATGAGGATGGAACATAGTAAATGGAAAGATTATTTATAGAAAGCACCCGTGAAAGCCTCAAGAATATTATACATTTATTATGAGATCAACGTTACATTCTGTTCAGTAGTGCTATCTAGAACTACTGTGTATATAACTTGATTTATGCCGAAATAATTATGGATCAGTTTTAACATTGATGATAACTTAGACGTAAATCGAGTCGTATAAATGTAATATATTATATTTGATGAAGTTGGTTTTAATGTTAAAAATGAGAAGTTGCATGTTGAGTCTACAAAATTTTGTGGAATTAATGAAGATAGGATCAAAATGATTTTAAATTGAAAGTTTTTTGATCTTTTTTTCATTGATTGTAGATGAAATCATTTTAGGCACAATTATAGGAATACAATTAGAGGAGATCTATATCTATGAAATAAATTTAATTAAATCAAAATAAATCAAAATATTACAAAATTTGTTTATAAAAAGTTCATAATTCTTATGTGTATGTTGAGATTTTCAATCACACTCAAAAAATGCATTTTTAGGTTAATCTGATCGCAAATACGAATTAGCAAACTTCACAACTTTTTCATTATACTGTACAAACAAACCCCTTAAACAGTCTAGCAGGATCTTAAACGCTTGTATAATTTTAAATTTATATACTACGTAAACTCTAAACTGCACGCTGAAATTTTTCCGGTCTTGAAGTGCAACTGTATATTAAACTACGGCAATAATATCACGAATTCAATTATTTAATAATTTAACAATTTTTTATGCTTATTACACATCTTTAAACGATCTTAATAATGCTGAATGACATATTGAAATCTGTAAATAATTAATTCTTATTGCGAAAAATATTACCTCGGAAGTCGAACCCGGATCTCTGGCATTGCGAGCGTCCTAAGCCTTTAGACTACTGACGCAATATATTTTCCATTATACATATATTTTATCTTGAATTATTTCTACTTTAAGATCGATTTTAAACATTTTTTCTTCTTTTCATTTAAAGATATTTTAATAGAATTCATTTTGCTATAATCTACAATTAGCTATTAGCTGGCGGTATCATGGCGACTGCAGTGCAGTTCGTTTACGCAATACATTGCGCAGCAGAGCATCATGAGCAGAATTTCAGAGATAGCTGCGCGGTATACATCCCTGCATAAACGAACGACATCTGCAGTAATAACTGCATAAACGAACGCAGCCATACTGTTTATAGGAAAACAAAATACATGAGATATCAACATACATTTACTTTTTTAAAAAAGGTAAAAAGCGCTGTGTATATGTGCAAAAAAAATATTATTAAATTAAAATATATGATGAAACCTAGATGATACGTATTTTTATATTTATTAAGTTATTTATAAAGTCCCATAAATAAACATTCTACTTAATTTAAACGTATCAGGTACATAAAAGATCTGATATCAATAATTGGCGTTATATTATAATCTTTAAAAATTGTTACCTCGCTCAATCCAAATTATATATGAAACTTGAACAAAACTCTGTATAAAATTAAAAAATGAAATCCAAATTGCGTTATCTTTTCAATCCAAGAGTTATCACAGAGAATTAAGGATGTACATGAACAAAATTAAAAAATTTAAATAAACAAATTTTAAATAAAGAAATTATAGCTACTATTTTGAATTTTGATATTGTCTTTATCATTTTATTTTATATCTCTAACCTAACAGAACCAAAAAAAATGAATCTGCAAAATATCCAAATTTTCACTAGTTTACTAAATGATAGCGCCATATTTAATTCGCCATATTGAATTTGCAAAATGTGACTTCAAATTCGGAATCAGTAAATCAAAAAACGTAGGCAAGCAAAGTTTCAAGAAACTCTGCTGAAAAAACCTAATCTACAATTGAAATGTAAAAAGAAATTCGTATTGATATACAGCTGCAATGTTAAACTAGTAATATGAAATATTAAGTGTACAACTTTGCTTCCGCCGTTTTTTATCCGAAATTCGAGGCTTTATTGTAAAAAACTGGTTATACATTTATGATTCGAAGTATTGTCCACCGCTGGCCACTACTTTCTCCCATCTTTCGGGTAGCGTACGAATCCCGCGTCGAAAAAACTGGTCATCTTTTGAGGCTATCCACGAATCGATCCAATTTTTTACTTCTTCATAAGACCGGAAGTGCTGGTCAGCCAGGCTGTGTGCCATTGATCGAAACAAGTGATAGTCAGAGGGAGCAACGTCTGGAGAATACGGCGAGTGGGGTAGGACTTCCCATTTCAACGTTTCCAAATATGTCTTGACCACTTTCGCAACATGGGGTCGAGCATTGTCATGCTGCAAAATCACTTTATCGTGTCTCTCGTTGTATTGCGGTCTTTCAATGCTCGGCTCAAACGCATCAATTGCGTTCGATACCGATCGCCTGTGATTGTTTCAGTCGGTTTTAACAGTTCATAATACACTACGCCGTCCCACCAAATACAGAACATGACCTTGGACGTCAAAATCACCGTTCTTGAAGCGTTGAAACCACTCATGACACGTTCTTTCACTAATAGCGGCCTCACCATAAGTATTTGAGAGCATTCGATGAGCCTCAGCCGCAGATTTCTTCATATTGAAGCAAAAAATTAAAACCTCCCGCAAATGACGAGAATTTGGCTCGTAAACTGACATTTCAATCGAGAATAACTTTATGATGCAAACACAAATCGACTAATGTTTCTATGGGGTTATGTTGACAGATGCCTAAGTTTATTGTATGACATCTATGATCTATTTATTTCGACCACCACTTACCGTTAAAGCCATCTATAGAAAAACGGCGGAAGCTAAGTTGTACACCTAATATATATTTTTTGCAAAACATACCATGGTTAAAATGTTGTAAAAAATTAATCCTACAAACGTAAATACAAAGATATGCACCATCTAACTATTTTCTAAATTATATTTTTAATTTCAGAACAATGATTTCTTTTGTCCAAAACAACAAAATCAATTGATAAATATGATAGCATAACTTACTTCTTAAACTTTCTTTATATTTTTGTACACCACGTTATTATTCAAGATGATTTCCATATTTTTGGATGAGTGTCGCTTAAGGAAATTCCACAAATTAAAAAATAATAGTCTCTTTACTCACAGGAGTACTTGTCGGTATTTATAAGAGCTTTTGTGGCGGCACATATGTGTGTGTGTGTGTGTGTGTGTGTGTGTTTGTGTGTGTGTGTGTATGTGTGTGTGTTTACTTCTCGGAGTCTTCTGTGTCGGAATCGCTGTCGGTCCCGAAGAGTTGGCGTGATAGCCGTGGGTTGAGCCACTTCCTCTTCCGTCCTTCTGGCGTCGAGCGTATCATCGTCAGACAGAAGTTTATTAGCGACCCAATCGCTAGATTCTCCGGCAGCGGTAGCGATGATCTCGGCGGCCACAGGGAACTCGTGCTCATCTGTTTATGTAGACGAGGCCATCTCCGTCGTGAATTCTTGAGGGGGGAACTCTCTCTTGGGAGTTCGAGAGGTATCAGCCTCCATGGTAAGAGAGTTATCCCCGAATCGAGCGGTTTCTCCGTCGGTGGCTTCTCTGGTGCACGGGGGACTGGAATAGTCTCGGCGATGTTTCCGTGGCAACTTGTAGCCTTTAGTTCGCCAAAAAGAGGATGCCGCACAGGCCCGAGTAGGGATCACTCTGCTCCACGAAGGCCCGATACGAGCTCACTCCATGAGTATATGCAAAGGTCCTTTAGAGAGGAGCTCGCTTTGCAGGGTTACGACACCAAAAAAAGTGGTCTGTCACCAGAATACAGGCCCTTTGCGGAGTTCACTCTATTCTGAGTGAAGATGCTGAAGACCTCCCGCAGAGTCCTACTTCTATGCGTAGCCTCCTCGCGGCGGCGTCGGACTCGCACTGGGCGGACGCTCGATCAACATCAAGCGCAGCACCGAGCGCGCAACTCAGAGGCGGCGCGGATCGCATGACTCTATTGATGGTGCTTTAAGCCGTCACATTTTTATATATTATCACTTTTTTTGATATATTATCACTTTTTTAAAAAGATAAATGTATACTGATATCTCATGCATTTTGTAGTGTTTAATGTTTTTTATAAACAGTATACGAATTAATCAATTTACACATTTTTTTCCGAAGACCCAAAGAATATTTTTCAGCGCCTTTTTCTACCCTTTTTTAAAAGGTAAATTTTGTACTGATATTACGTATTTTGTAGTGTTTAATGTTTCCTTATTAATTCGTTTTATAATTAATTAAAAATCTTTCTCGCGGAACATATATTTGTATCGCTTTCTTACCTCTTTCAAAAAGCTAAATTTATATACTAATATTATGGCTTTTATAGTTTTTAATGAATTTCTATGTAAAAAATATTTAAATTAATTACTTCAGTACATTTTTTACGAAGATTTTTAACTGTAACATCAAAGTTGAAAAGTCATTCAATCGTTTCTTGCAACGAGCTAGAACGATTACTCATTATTATTTGTAGCAATACTTTTTACTCATTACAAATAATCTTTTCAGTGGGTAAACGCGTAATGATAAAGAATTACTTTTCAAAATGATTTTTCCAAGCTTTGCACAAAATTAGTGTAATTAATTATCGTTACAATAAAAAACTGCAACGTCGTTGTCGAGTTGTTTTTATATATAAATGACTGTAAACAGTGAATTAACCAATTTAATACACTTTTTTTAAGAAATAACGAAAAATACTTTTAGCGCTTTTTTTTATCCTTTTTTAAGAAGGTAAGTTTTATACTAATATCATGTATTTTGAAGTATTTAATTTTCTTATAAATTCATTTTTTTAGTTCAGTAAAATTCTTTCTCGCCTAACATATATTTGTAGCGCTTTTTTATCTCTTTCAAAAAGATCAATTTATATGCTAATTCATTTTATTTTTGTAATGTTTAGCGTCTTTCTCTATATGAAAAGAATATAAATTAATGACTTAGTACATTTTCTACGAAGATTTTTAATTGAAGCTGTAACGTCAGAGTTAGAAAGTCACTCAATCGTTGCTCGCAACGAGTTAGAACGGTTTCTCACTCGTACTGAGAAAAAGTAATTCATTATTTGTGTTACGTCCAGACTCCACAATTTTTTTCTTCGATTAGAATTTTCGTTTCATCGCCATAAAAGTTATTAACAAATAACACTGGTAGACCATTTTCTACCATAAGGAGTTACAATGTAAGCCGAATAACATTCGCCTTTTTAAAATTAATAATCCATTCGGGACGAAGTTGTTTGATTAAAAATTTAAAGTGCTGAATAGACAAACTTTATCCCGAGCAACAGAAGAAGTAAATAGTTTAAGAATTACAAACTGAAACAGCAGTTGTCAGTAATAAATGACACATGTGATTCTAAATTATTGACATCCGGCAAACGATTGATGACGAAAGTTATCTTAGACACATACCCTATTTCACAATCGATATCCTTAATCCTAATCCTAGATTAGACCAGTAACATATGCGAGGTATGCACTCGGCATTAGCTCGCGAATATAAAAAGAAGGTCCTTCATGACATCAAGTCAGACAGTCAAGCTCCATCTCCGACACGAAACCCTGCCCTGATTCACGACTACAAATCATTCTGCAAATCGACAGTTCGCTTCACTGATCTTAGTGGTGAGTCGACACTCTGCCAGTTCGATCGAATGATCTTACTCGTCTATTACGTGACTCAAGTGGCCGAAACCTCTAAACCGCTGAGTCAACCCTCCTCTTGGAGC